ACTTGGCCTCCCATTCAGATCCTGCACCCCCATTCTTATCCCACTGACTGGCAGAGACGAGAGGGTGGAGCATGTGAGGGAGGGGAAAGGGAGGAGGCTTCGTGGCTCCTGCCTCCCCAGAGCACTAGGGAGTGGGAAGGGCGGAGGCCATGCAGCTCCCTCCATCCCAGGTTCCAGAGCAGCTGGAGGTGAGTGCTGGGGGCAGCAACACTCCGCCCCCCCAGGTTCCAGAGCACCGGGAGGGTGAGTGCTGGGGGCAGCAACACTCCGCCTCCAGAATGCCTACATCAGGTGTTCTGGGGGTGGAGTGTGGACAGGGCCAGGCTGCTTCCCCTTCTCACTCTGATGACGTGTTGACGTCATTCTGTCATCCAGCAGGAAAAGCTTTTTTATATATAGAGAGATTATTCATTATGTCAGTTATCAATAATATTAAGTTGTATATTTTCAGTCATGCAAATGGGCATTCTTATATGGCTCTTTGCTGACCACTTGTTCTGAATTTTGATATAGTTTGGCTCTTTGGTTTGAAAAGATTGCTGACCTCTACCCCAGAGAGGGGTGGGTTGGTGAGCGTAGTGAGCAGGGGGAAACATTAATTATTATTATTATTTATAATTTTATTATCATTGCACCTTGGTGCTGTAGGCATGGACTAGTACCTCATCATGTCACATGTAGCTTTACCCTTAGTGTGAACAAGGACATGAGCTATTAAGGGTTCATTCCCTACAGGATTAATCATGAGGAGCTAATGAATTTTTAAACACAGCTGTCCTTGTCTACATCAAGGGCAAAACCATGTTTAACATCATGTTAGTTAAGACATGTTGGTTAACATGCTATCTAGCATGACACTTTTTCCCTAGTATAGTAATAATATTTTATTTCTCATATGGCACTTTTCATAAGTAGATCTCAAACTGTTTCACAATCTGCAACACATTTATTCTCACAACGCTCTTGTGAAGTATGGATGCACTACTACCCCCATTATGCAGATGGAAATCTGAGGCACCAAACAACTGAATGACTTGCCCAAGGTCACATAGGATGTCTGGGTAGAGCAGGGGATTGAAAGTAGATCACCCACATCCTAAGCCAGTGCCTTAAGCCCTGGACTATCCTACCCTGAAAGAGCTAGGTTGTACAACCCATATTTATCTTGATGAACATCTCCTACCTGGAGGAGTCTGACTTTGAATTCAGTAGGTCTCTTTGCAAGACCAAGCGTTCATCTTCTTGGGAAAAGGTTGAACAATCTATTGCTGTATGTTTGGAAAATGCTTAGCATGTTGTGTGGGTGCTAGTAACATAATTTCTACCAAAGAAGGTCACCTTACACAGGGAGGCAGTGAGGGGCAGAAAAAAAACTGGAATCCCTGCTTGAACTATCAGATCTCCACAGAAGACCATAGCTACTACCTTTCTCACATACACACTAGCTCCACTGACACAAAGCACAGAGCATGGCCCTTGTACTTACAGTCTAAGTGAAAAAGGGACATTGGTCACCTGTGTGCATATGGCCACCCCTCGATTAGACAGGGAGGTATCTGCAGGGACCATTCTTCAAGCCCCCAAATCATAGAAATGACCTTACCACTAAGCAACTCCGCTTTCACTGGAGTTGATAACACCCCGCCCTGCGGCCAGTGGGGCAGCCAGCTTAGGTGTTTTGGAGTACGTCTACACTGCAATAAAAACCCTACGGCAGCAAGTCTTGGGAGTCCTGCTTGGCTGACTGAAGCTCATAGGGCTTGGGCTGCAGGGCTGTAATATTGCAGCGTATATATTTAGGCTCAGGCGGGAGCGTGGCCTCTGAGACCCTCCCCCCTTTGTGAGGTCTCTGTGCCCAGGCTCCAGCCCAAGCTGGACTGTATAGCCCTGCAGTCTCAGCCTGAGTCAGCTGCCCTGGGCCAGTCACTGCTGTGGGCAGGTCTTTTATCACAGTGTAAATATAGCCTTAGTGTCCCCAGCATGGCAGGGGCTCCGCCCCGCCCTGCAGCATGACAGTGGCTAGGAGAAGCACTGATGGAATCTTTGCCCTGCTGTGTGGACAGGGCCAGCCTTCCCCCTGCAGCTGGCTGAGATGGAGGTTTGGGGGCAGTAGGAACACAGAAGAAACTTTAACTCTGCAGCAGGGCTGGGGACAGGCTGGATGGACAAAAACAGCATGGAAGCTGGTTTTGCCCTTCAGTGGGGTTCTAGATGGACAGACAGGAGCAGTTCTGTGAAGGCTTATGCCCTGGATTAGTCTGCGAATGGCTGGATGGACAGAAGCTCTCCAGAAGATGTTTTCACCTTCCATTAGGGCTGGGAACAGCTAATATGGATTGATGCAGGAGAGGCCTTTGCCTAGGTCTGAAAATGTCTGGCCCAGATGGAAGGACAGGAGCAGCAATATGGCTCGGCCCATTGCAGTGAAGCTGGGAGGAGCAGGTATGGACAGAAGGAACAGAGCATGGCTGAGGGGGCCTTATGATGTTGAAAATGGCTGATCTGTATGGATAGAGGAGCAATGCTGAAGAGCCCTTTGCCCTGCAGTGACAGCCCTGGCTAACACCATGGACACAGCGCAGGTGGCTCTGGCACAGCTCTGCTAAAGCAGGGCACTTCTGGAGCGCTCCCTGCTTTTCCAGTCCTGGGCTTCCTGCAGTTCTGCCAGCAAACCACCACTTGTACTGCAACATTCCCTGCTGCGACAGGGTGGAGATCCACACCCACAGCTCTTCCAGAGCACCTCAGTCCTGACCTGCAACCTGCTCTGCTAGTTGCTCTGCAGGATGACTCAGCTCTCTAACCTTCTCACGTGAGCAGCCGTGTGGAACCTTAGAGATTAACAAACTTATTAGGCCATGAGCTTTCATGTGACTTTCTGCTCTTCTAGTACTAATAGATGGCCACTAATCACGGGACAGGCATCCTCCTGGGTGCAGACAAAGATCTCCAAACTCATTGCAGTTGTGACTTAGGTTGGACTGACTCCGGCATCTCTCTGCCATCCCTGTCAGTCTGGCTGTGTTCTAAACAGCTGAGCTAGATAGTGGAATGTTTTGTCTCTACAGGTAAAAAATGCAAAGTAGAGGCCTTAGTGTTAAGAAAACTGGTATCATTATTCAGTAACTACACTCACTGTGACAGGATGGGAATACCCCCCACTAGAATGGGAGGGGTGAAAACCTTGTGGGCAGAGAAAGTCCTGCTCCTTCAAGCAGACTGGGCATGCTCCAAGTGCTGGGCCAGTATAAAGGCCAGGAGCAGCTCCGTCTGGGCTGGCCAGTGAAGGGGAAGGTTCTCGAGATGGAACTCCAGCACTGATACAGCCTGCAGTCCAGATAGAGGGAGCTGAAGGGCCTGGAGATAGCGATTGCTCTACCCCTGCGGAGACCCAGGGAGAAACCACAGCCGGGGGACTGGGAGACCCAACGGCTATGTGGGTTGATGCCCCAATGAGACTGGTAGGAGGTGACCCGGGGAGGGTGCAGGAGCTGCCCCTCCCACCCAGGTATTCTTGGAGTGTTTTGGCCAAAGTCCCTGCCAAGAGTGAGCGGTAGGCAACCACTATGCTCATAAGGCCCTGGGCCAGGACCCAGTGGAGCAGGATGGGCCCGGGTCCCCCTGCCAGGGGCAAATTCCTGCCTCATTGACTCTGGCCATTGGGCCCTACTGCCCCGAAACCAGGGGCACTCATTGACTCTGGTTATTAGGCCCTACTACCCTGAGGTCAAGGACACTTAGGGTATGTCTACACTACCACCCTAGTTCGAACTAGGGTGGTTAATGTAGGCAATCGAAGTTGCAAATGAAGCCCGGGATATTTAAATCCCGGGCTTCATTTGCAACTTCGATTGCCTACATTAACCACCCTAGTTCGAACTAGGGTGGTTAATGTAGGCAATCGAAGTTGCAAATGAAGCCCGGGATATTTAAATCCCGGGCTTCATTTGCAACTTCGATTGCCTACATTAACCACCCTAGTTCGAACTAGGGTGGTTAATGTAGGCAATCGAAGTTGCAAATGAAGCCCGGGATATTTAAATCCCGGGCTTCATTTGCAACTTCGATTGCCTACATTAACCACCCTAGTTCGAACTAGGGTGGTAGTGTAGACATACCCTTATTGACTTCGTCCAGTAGGCCGTTAGCCCTGCGAATCGGACTACTTATGGATTGAGAGTTACACATGGGGCAAGTGAGTTACGGACTAGCAAGTTGGCCCTGGGGCCAGTGACCAATGAAGCGGCAACTGTACTTTGGAATAGCCATAGACCCGTGCTGGGGCGGGCATATACCGCCACATTCACCCCTAATCAAGTCTCCGGCTCAGTGCTTGAGAGAGACAAGTCCCTTCATCAAATACCAGGCCATCTCCTGGAGGATCAGAAGGTGGAACTGATAAAGCAGTCGCTATTCATATGGGGAAGCTGTGCAGAGACTGTGTGTTTGTTTGGCACCTGGAGAAGGACACAGCTGTGACTGGGGAGGGAAAATGGATCCCTAGTGCCAAAAACCCAGGGGATTAAAAAGCGTTTCTTTACAAGGCAATTAAATAAGATAACAACTTTATCTCTCTACAATGCCCACATGCCATCCCAAAGGGCCCAGAAGCACAGGAGAGGTTCTGAGTCCTGGGGTAAACCAGCAGAAAGGTTCTCAGTGTGGAAAGTCTACCTGGAACATCACAAGGTATCCACAGTTCCTAATTGCTCAAAGGCCAGTATCCAGCACTACCTCAAAAGCAGGCGGCCCTGGCCAGGGGGGCAAGGGGCAGGAACCCTTTGCAATGGATAAAGGGACCCCATGATGTTTCCCAACTGAATGGAGAGCTGTTCTTGTATGGAAACTCATTCCAGTCTTGGGAAAGATGATTTCCTCTCTGCTACCGATGTCCCGTTTCCCTTCTCATTCACTGTCCCTTTGCATATATGTCTCCCCCTCTGGCCTTTGCACGCCTGACTCTGCAAGGAGCCTACTCTACTTGTGGATGATAAAGGGACCCCATGATGTTTCCCAACTGAATGGAGAGCTGTTCTTGTATGGAAACTCATTCCAGTCTTGGGAAAGATGATTTCCTCTCTGCTACCGATGTCCCGTTTCCCTTCTCATTCACTGTCCCTTTGCATATATGTCTCCCCCTCTGGCCTTTGCACGCCTGACTCTGCAAGGAGCCTACTCTACTTGTGGATCATATGCAAGAGGCATTCACAAGTGCAGGGGGTGCAGGGCCTGCCTCTGTGCTGTGTATGTTGCCCCACAGTGGGAAGGGAAGAGAGAGCTGTGATCTGGACCATTCTCCTCACCCTTTGCACTGGCTTGCAAAGTGGACTGAGCACATTGGGGTCCCTAGAAGTACCCTAGAAGTACCCTGAAGTACTCTAGAAGATGGGGCAGCCTACCCCGACCCGCTGCCTGCTGGGACAGGGAGACCCCCCCCCCCCCGCCAATCCCAGACCAGTGGCTACATGCTCCCATTTGGCCCTGAGTAAAAACCTTAGGATTCATCCCTCAATGAGTGTTCTTGTTTTTTTATCATCATCTCTCCCCTCTCAGACACCTGTGGTGGGAAGGTAAAACAACAGCTTCCAGATCTGACACAATGAAACACTAAGGTCCAAGTTCTAATCTGCACTCACCCTCTACCTCCACCGATGCTCCCGATTAGTACACAGACTAGAAAATATGCTCTCATCCCAGCCACAATTTTCCACTAATTCTCCCCCACTCTCTTTTTTACCTGGCCCCTGGGAGAAATAGGTATATGACATAGCCACCTATCATTCCCCTAAGTCAACCTCCTACCTTCCCCTCCACACCAGGAAACTCCATTCACATGAAGAGGTTCTCTGACGCCACCACCGTTCTGAAGACACTGTGCTCATTGAACTTTGTCTGTCTGTCCTTGGAGTCTTTCTATGCTTTTCAAATGACAAACACAGAACCAAGTCATTCCCCCTGCAAGCCCTTAAACAGCGGTGAAAGTAACTTACAATTTCTTACAGGTACTGTCCTATTGCAACCCAGGTTCCTGCCAGCTTTTTGAATAGTTCCCTGCTGTTTTTGCCACAGCTCAGCCAGCTCTTGTAGGAGCTGCACCTGCTTACTTTCACTTCTGCCCCCAAGCCCTAGCAATCAAATCTCCCAGCATTCCCTCTGCTACTTCCCACAACGAGAACGTGCAACAAAACCACAGAACACGAGAAGGGAAGACAACAGACAGCCTGCTGGGCAAAAAACAAGAATGACAACATTCTAGGAAGGAGAAAGGAAATGCCCCTGCCCCTTCTCCCGTACACACACACAGAGGATGTGCCACATGCTTTGAAGACAGGCCTACAGTAAAGTCGAGGGTGACTGGGGCGGGTTGCAATATCCAGACAGTGGGAGGAGTAATTCACAGATTACTTTCATGGTTTTCCTCTGTCTCAGCGGTCACTGGGGGAAGTCCCCCGTTGTCATTCAGCCGCTTGGCCCTGTACGTCTCATAGTGGATGTTGTGTGTCACTTCTTTTAGGTCTTGGAGATGGGTCCTAAGGGAGACAGAAGGAGGGTAAGAAAAATAATCTATTAGCAACTGGCTCACTGTTATTATTATTATTATTTTTTTAATTTCCTAAGCTGTCTGAGACAATTCCCCCAGTCTGGCTGGCCAATGAACAGGGCATTCATTCTTTATGGAGGCCATGGCATAATACATTAGCCCAGGGGTGGGGAACCTCAGGCCCAGGGGCCGGATGCAGCCCCCAGCTTGCTGGGATCTGGCTTTTCCCCC